CGCATGAGGATGAAGTCGAGGCGGTACTTCTCCTTCCCCTTGTTGGAGCTCTGGAATGTGTGCTGCACTCCACCTTTCGGTGTCCGGAAGTAGGTGTTGGTCAGGGAGAGTTGGTTATCTCTGATTCCAGTCCAAGGAGTCGTTCCCCGTTGTTGTTCATAACGTCGCGTCCGTACGTGCCCATAATCTTGGCATCGCAGCACCCGTCTCGCCTCCTACCAGTGCGTGCGTTGGCGTCCATTAGCACCACGAGATGGTCACGGCTGTGAACCTCCCGGATCGCTGCGTCGAGAGCAGTCCAGAAGGAGTCCTTGGCGTTAACATCACCGCCCGCGGTGGTGCGGACAGTTTCCGTGGGGGCGTACCCCACCACGAAAGTTACTCCGCAGGTGCGGCCAATTTGTAGACGCACCTTCATCAGCCTCGGGCTAATGCACTCCACCGTCCTACCTTCCTCTCCCACACACGCCCACATGACCTCCTTGATCGCTGTGCCCACACCGTGTACGCCCCTCTTGTCCTTGGTGCCAGCACGTGCGCCACTCCAGATGATCACATACCCGTCGTGTGCAATTGAAGCATGCCCCTCTCGTCGGGTCTCCTGAACTCCTGTCACATCACAGCCGGTCGCGGAACAAATCTGCATGAACCTTCATCACGTTGTGACCGATGGGGTTCCTACCGCTGTAGGCGAGCGTGCGTACGTTGAACGTGCCGAACGATAGGTCGCCCTCTCGTGCCTTGTCCTTCGCAGTCGCCTTGACGGCCGCTGCGGTCTCGTGTCTCTCTCGGTCCGCCTCGCGTNCGCGGTCGTCTCCCTTCTCCCGCGAGCGGTGCTTACTGACGTGGTGTTTACGAATCTCTCTACTCCTCCAGCTTCGTGGGCCACGCTTTCCGCGACGGTGGTTGCCAGGTGCAGTTTTCCGCTTTGCATTACTGCCGCGGGAACAGTGTCCATACACACCTCTCGCCACTACCAGCGGCGGTGAGTTGCACCTTGGGACACCACCCGCCTACTATCTGTGCTGGCCTGGTTCGCCCGCGAGGGACTTACAAGGTCGATTTTGACCCCGGCCGGGTAGCAGGCCGAGGGAGAAGGAAATGTGGGGGGTCCCCATAGGTCTGAGGCTCTCGCGGGGCTCCTCTTCGCTTGAAGTGTTTGAAGTTCACTTTTGTAGCTGCCATTTCCTTTAAGAAGCGGTGGCACTACGGCAGCTGTTGCCTCCCACCCATGACTGACGTATTCATATACTTCTGGGTGCTCTTGTTCACCTCACCAAATTTTGATGATGCGTTCATTCAAGTGAAACTTGCTTGTTTCAGCTAGGCCGCCGTTGTTTGTCGAGTTATGTGTGCTTGTTTGGTCGGAGCTTCTCGGTTGGGAGGTCTACACAAGCCCTGACTTTGGCAGACCTGACTTGGGAAGAGCTGGTCTTTGATTCTTGTGTATCGCTGCAGCTCACAGCAGCAACAACCACCAACAGCAGCCACAACAGCAGCAGCAACAACAACAAACAATAGCAGCAGCAGACGCAGGAACAACGACATACAACAACAGCAGCGGTAGCATTAATAGCAACCGACCGTGGTCTCTCTTCCTCTCGAATTATGTCTCCATAGGATGCCCACTCCCCCCCCTTGATTATTTCTTCACTACAAGGTAAGTTGATCCCTTAATTCCTTAAGAATATCCTCCGGAGCGGGCTCATGATTGCGCGACAGTGTCATCAAAGCGGGGATGCACCATGCACAAGAAAGGGTGCACAGCTGGCTGACTGCCACCCATAGCGTTTCCCAAGGTCGAACAACAGGTGGCGTCGAAAAGCCCTATCGAACTACCGAACGAAATCGATCGGATGTCATGTGTGTGTGTAGTCGATGCAAGATGAAGAACCTCAACGAACCAACAATGACAGTTCACGTTTTCAGTCTTACAGCAGTAGCAGAACGAGCAACTATCCGTGTTTTGTTAGCAATAATAGTTTCCAGAAACACCCCGGTTGTGTGCACTACCAGCCTGCGTGCCGGAACCCCTGTGCTGCCTGTGGTAGCACCGAGAGCAACACAAGGTTTCTTGTTTACACGATTCACGACGCTTGTAGAGTCGGCGTTAGCTCACAGTATTGTTGGTAGCCGTCCGAACTCCTTCTCTGAGAACCAAGCACAACATCAGGCTGGCCACGACGACACGACAACATAGCAGTGATGTTTCGTGCTCGCGTACCGCGCATCACGCTGTCCAAGAGTTGGGCTCGTACACATTGCGATCAAAACATGCCTCTGGTGAGATGCCGCCAGCACCCTTCTCTGGCTTCGCTGTGGCAAAAGTAGGGAGGAACGACTGACCAGCGGCGATCGGTCCTGCGGGAAGAGTACTCCGTCCCCGCGGGGTCAACGGTCTAACCGCTATGGCATGCAAAACATGAGAGTACACCCCTCCTTCCCTTGCTTGACGCGTGTCCTCCCTCAGGAGCCACTCGGGGGTAGCTTGCGCAACGATGTTTCCCAGGGCGCTGGGGGCCCCGCGGTGGGTAGGTGGACGGAGGGGCGTACACATGGTCTTGTCGGCGGCGGGAGGGGTGGCGGTAGGGGTGGTGAGTCGAACAGTGGTGGTATTGACTGGTTCGGTGGAGGGAGAGGCGGAGGTGGTGCTGATGGTGCTCGAGAAGTCCCGGACAGGAGCTGGCAAGGGATCCGGGAGCTGGTGTTCCCGTACGATATGGGGCAGGCGTACCGGGTAAGAACTTTAAATACGTGTTGATCGTGTCATGTTAAGAAGAAGTGCTTTGGCTGTTTGGAATGTTCTACGTAAACCCTCCTATGATAGTACCCAGTCCCTCCAAAGAATCTGAGCTCTTTGCCATACGAAGGGTGACTTGGCTTCGGTATGAAAAGGTGTCCCCAACACGTGAAAGTGCCCCCAATACACGTGGGGACACTTTTCATACTTGAGCCAAGTCAGCAAATTTTTCCAGTATCAGGCGATGTACAGTTAGGGGTGTTAAAGCGGCGGAATTTGGGGCCAAAAAATCGTCCGGTCCATTCGGCAAAATTTGAGGGGGGCACGCGGATTTGGTTCTCATTTTGGCTCTTGAGAATCCGCTGTTAATACTGAATAAACTATACATCAAGTCAATTTGTTTGTACAGGCAGCTCTGCGTCCAGACAGCAGCATGGCGCTTCATGCGTTACACACACCTGGACACAGGTTCAATAGCGGTGACTGTAAGCTCGATTTTCTCTTGAAGTTAAAGGGCGGACGAACAACACCAAAAAACATGTTTTTTTGGGCTCTTTGCTCCACGCCCAAGGCGACCGTTGCTCCTCTCGAACAAGCGAGCTTACAGCCCTCTACCTTGGGTTTACAGCTATGCCACACAACAAACCGCATCCGAATCGGCATGTTCATGTTAAGAAACACCAATAAAAAATGCTTCGTCGGTTTTTTGTGTGTCTTGGCTGGAGGAGGTTGTTGTTTCTACGTCTGTTGTCCCGACCTCGTTTTCTGCGGTTGGTTGGAGCTCCATTCTTGTCTGCTAATTGACTAGGTGGTGGCGCGGTCTTTACGACACAGGCTAACACACACACCTATGACGGGACACCCTGTGACAGTTTTTTTGTGTAACGGATGCAGCGCACCGTTCATGCAGCGCGCCGAACACCTCATGGCGCTGCAGGGTCAATGATGTGTGAACCTGCTACTGTAATACGTTTTCGGGCTCCCGGTTCTGTTGTCGCACGTTCCTTGTCTTGAACAACGGACAAAGTAGTCATTGGAAGTCGGCCCTTTGGAAAGAGAGTCGCGGGTGTTTCTTGGCGTGCACGGCTTGTTTGCTGTCGTTTGCTGTTTTTTGTCGGCAATCCTTGAAGGTTCGGGGTCGGGAGGTTACGCGTCAGCATAGCAAATCGATGTGCCCCCCAGCGGCCCCCGCCTCGGCCTTTCGTGGGCGACAACAAAGCTTGCTGGTGGTCTTGTTGTGGTCGATGGTGGTAGTGAGGGATCGAGGCGGCGTGGCGGTAGGGTGTTTGTGCGCAGCGTGTGTCGATGTTGCTGGATGATGATTGTTTCCCTCGATCCTGTGCCCGCCTTTGTCGTCGGAGGCTTGTTGAGAGAGACAAAAGGACAAGGAGATGGAGCCAAGGGTACCTGCCGTATACGACGCAGGATAACACACCCCCTGGACTGTTTTTCAAAGGTAGATTTCTCAACAGCAGAAAGAGCCGCGGCGCCAAAAAAATGGTGGCGTTGAAGCCGTCTGGTCGGGAGCTCTCCGAAAACGTTTCGTTTCGTTTGTGCATGCTCTTCGTCTTGGCGAAGTCGAGCTTTGAAAATGGTCCAGGGGGTGTGTTATCTTGCGTCATGTCGTTTACGATAACCCTTTGGCATTGTCGCGGTACGTTGCTGTCTCTGAACCAACCCCTCGAGCTACCCGTTAGGACCCTGCGCCTGCTGTCAACATCCTCCCTCACTTTTCGCTGAGACAAACCCCCCATTCCGCGACTACCCATACGGTACTATCGGACGAGGACAGACTGTTTCCTCGCGCACGCATGTTCCCCTGGATCCAGACCTACCATTTAGCGGGGGTCCCCGCGAACCGCGCTGTGAGGAACAGTCGCCAAGCTTATATTGAAATAAGTATCGTTCTGCAAGGATCCAGTGAACCAAATGTTATCCAGTGGTGCTGCACGTAGAAATACGCTTAAAAAGGGGCCGGTCACTCTACATTATCGCGTGACATACAAATCTCCGGTCGCCCCGGTGGTCTAGTGGGTAGCCTCGCAGCCTGCTAAGGGTCAGGTCATGAGTTCGAGTCCCAAAAGAGTGAGTTTTTTCTCGCTAATTTAAATCCTGGTCTCCATTGGAAACGACGCGCTGCAAAGCTCGTTGTTAGTAAACTTGATCGACTTAACAAGTCGCGAGGGAAGGGATTGCTGTACCCTTCTCGCGATAAAAATATCTCAGGCAGAAACCGCAGGAGGGATCTAACCCCCCCCTCCTATGTGACCCCGGTTGGGTCGTCTAGCTGGTAGAAGTGGAGGACAGGGGCCAGAGGGGCAGACGACAGAGTCCAATGATGGGAGAGAAAAAAAAAACGATGGAATAGTCATTTTGCCTAGTTCCCTGATGAGTGCCGGGTGCTTGGTTTGCCGGCCAAATCGGTTGGCCCTAATAGCTTGGCACCAGCTGGCTTTATACTGCAGTACTCCCTTCTTCCCCTCGCTCCTCGACTAGCTTTTGCTTAGACATGGGTTGTAGCGAAGGGGGGGGTCTTTCTGGCGAGCAGGGCTAGACTCACCCTCAAGGGATGACCGAAACCTTCTTGCTGCTGCGCATCCGCCGCGAGGCGTGCGTGTGGTGGTGGAGTTGGGTCGGCACTGATGGGGTCAGGCGGGAAAATGTAGATGCGCGGGCCTTTCTGGCCGTCGGCGTTGGCAGTGATTCCCATCTCGTTTTTGTGCGCGAAGGCAGACACCATCAGAAAGGTGGACGGGCACTACACGGCCCTAGGTTTGCTAGAGGGAGCTGTATTGCCTCAGTAACCTGGCTTCGCCATCAAAGGAGGAGGGAGCAGGTGGCGACGAGCTGAACTGGGCTGGTTGACCCCTTCGGCGCGAGAATTTTTATTTTTCAGACCAAGAACCTTGAGTGCAAGGAGGGAGAAAGCGAGGAACCGACTGGGAAGGACAGCAACGAGAGCGTGTACGGACGGAGCAGGTCGAGTGGCGTTATGCTCGGGCTGACTACAGCGGCGCCGGACGGAGCAGCGGCACCGGAGCATGCGGGCGACATCGACCCGTGGCGCACGGACAAACATTTATATCTGATCTGTGTTGTCAATTTTTCTCGTTTTTTTCCTGATTTTCGGTGTTGGTTCTATGTGATGACGTCGTCACTGGTTTTGTAGAGAGACACGTCAGAGATGGCGTGGCTAACCCGGGTGCATTGGTTTTGTGCCTGATCGTGGAAGACCCCTTCAATGTGGAACGATTCTTAGCTAGTGTCGATATTTTTCACTGCAGTGCCTAACACAGACGATCGGGAGAGATTCGGGTGATTGTCAATTGCTGCTATGATGGCTTTGGTTGGTTGTTCTTTTTCACTGTACGGCCGCAGACACATTCTGACAGCACTTCAGACAGCAGCTTTGTGCCCCGCCAGCTGCTTGTTCCATGCCTACCATGGTGTTTTTGTACAGACAGCACTTCAGACAGCATTATGCTGTAGTCGGCAATCTTCCGTTTTGGTATAGAGTGGGACAGGGAGGGGGTGATGCTACTGTAGTCGAACGGTGGGACGGACGTGCAGTTCAGTTTTTGGGCACGCATACGGTGCTGCAGGGATTTTAAGGTGTACCTCTTCGGGCTCTTGGATACCTTTTTCTCGTTATACGTGTGCGTGTTCTTTAGATCCTCAGATGGCTCTAGCACTGTCGTGACCACGGGCGGAGAGTCTTTTGCTAGATTTTGGCATTTAGCAACTGACATACGGTTTAATGTGAAGACAACAATAACAACAACTTGCATGGGGAGACGTGCTCCATGCATTGCCTGGCCTTATCTCGCCGTTGCCTAGCTAGTTCTCAAGGCCGGCTGCACCCAGTTCCACATGAAAGTCATCCCACGACGCCACGCAGAAACCAAAACCGGCACCCCAAAACCCAATATATGTGTTTGTTACGTCCTGCCCAAAACCAAATTTGTGTAACAGCTGAAGTAAAGGCAAAGCTAACAAGTGTGTTGTTGATAAAGAAATATGCCTTATCTATGTCGATGCCAACGTTCCCTTGTTTCATGTCCATTTTTTTTTGTGCGCCTTAGGAAACGGGGAATTGGAACGAGCTGTTCCAATCGGCGCTTGATCTCCCGGAAGAAACTGCCGACCAATGCTACAGGAAGTGGGAGTGCCTGACCACGGTTAACCGGGACTTCAAGGCGACCGCGGTTACCTATGGGAAAACCATAATCTCCGAGTACTTCCTGGATCCCAAGGACAAGAGCATCAGGTGAGGAAGACAGGGGGGGGCGGGTTACACCCATGTTTTGGCATGCCTTGGCGGTTGGATCATGGACACAATGGGGTTGGTATACTCACGTTTTGCACGCGTTACCTGTCAGACCACGCGTCCTCGAGAGAACGGGGAGGGGGGGGATACTCATAGCTTTAAATGGCGTAGTCGTTAGACCATTGGCCTCCCATCCCTGCCAAGCCGGGACAGCTTTCACAGGACCAGGTTACAGTAGCACATCACCAAGCGCGAAGCGCCATTAGTTTTTCGGCGAGTCGGATGGAGGGTGCGCCTCATCCTGCTAAGGGTGGTGGCTGGTGTTGCTAATGTCATTCGCAAGTAGCACATCACTAAGCGCGAAGCGCCATTGGTTTTTCTGCGAGTCGGATGGAGGGTGCACCTCATCCTGCTAATGGTGGTGGCTGGTGTTGCTACTGTCATACGCACATCAAACCTTTCAAGCCTTAAATACCACTTTTGTGGAAGTGCTTCCAGTTGCAAATAGTCTTAGTCGTACGAAAGGAGGTCGGCCCACAGACACTATTTTCAAAGTACCAGAATATGGTTTCCCACGTTGTACTTTCACACTCGTCCCTCCACGGTGTAGTCTGTCACCCCCCCATTCGGCCACAAACTTGTAATAGTTCCCCACGGAGGAGGTGGGAAAAAAAATTCTTATTTACCCCGCAGTTTCTTCGGTTTCGACGAATACCCCCTCGAGTGGGGTTATTTCCCCACCGATTGCTGGTGTACACGATGTAGCCTCCGCTGCCAAGCAAAAGTGGTAGGTGGTTTGCCTAGCCTCTTGGGAGGGCTCCCGTTGCTCTTTTTTATCTAATCTTGGGCCGGCATCACCGGGTGCTCCCCCGCCCCCCCCCCCCCCCCCCCCCCCCCCCCCCCCCCCCCCCCCCCCCCCCCCCCCCCCCCCCCCCCCCCNAACTGGGTATCCTCACTGCTCATCCTGATGAAACCGGTTATCATTTTCGTGCCATGAGAGGCACCTTCCATGCAGTGGTTTTGTCGTCTGGGCGTTTGGGGCCGCTCGAGCGAGCTAGTGTCGCAGCGAGATTACAGCGCGCGAATGATCTCGCTCCATGGACATCTTACCCTTGAAGGGCTTCGCGCGCACTGGTTTTGACCGAGCGGTTTTTTTTTTTTTTTTCCGTCCCATCTCTGGCGCCGCCTGCTTGCTCCTCTTCGGTGCACCCTACACGTTTGCCGCGTATATGCACTTACACTTCTCTGTGTGACCACAATTGCAACCAAAGAACAAGTTGCGACACGTGTTGGGGACTCTCATTGTCTTGTCTAATCGAAGCCTGGCGACATTTTTCTTTCGCGCTGGTGATGGTCGCAACAGGCTCGAAGAGCTTGGGGGAATAGCAGGAGGGATGAAGTTCGTGTGGCGAGGGATTCTGTTCAAGCTCGCGGATGGGTCGAAGGGGCCCTACCTCGGAAACGACGAAGCTGCCGCAAAAGGTACGGGATGGTTGCACGGGACGGTTTAATGGGATGGTTTTCCGGGGACATCTTAGCCGACAAGACCATACTTGACGAGATTCACGGAGTTCTGGCCCTGTCCCTCTTGCCTCAGCGCTTCACCGAACAGCGGCTGGAGCTGGCTGGCTGAATGTTGCTGCCTTTCGCTAGTGCAGCAGCTGTTGCTGCTGCTGCCTTTTTTCTAGTGGTGCTGCTGCTGATGCTGGTGCCGCTGAGCACAACTCTAGCGAATGCGCATAGAAAATCTAACAGCACCGATGCCCAAAATCCGTACCACTTTCTGTTGGTAGGAGCCGGGCACGACTTGAGAGGCGCGACACATTACCTGGCCACGCGCATTCGCGGGCTGCGGTACGCGCTCCAGTGCCTCATCGACTACAAGGGCTTCCGAATGACGGCACAGGTGCAACTGTCAAGAAAATCATTTCCAACGATCGATCTTTGTCTGGGCGTGAAGTTTCTTTTCCACCGCCTCCTCTGGTGTGTGTTGCATGGCGTTTTGTGGAATTACCATGGTTTCGAACGTTTTTGCTTTGGTTGAACCACTGCGGGGCGTGTTGGTTGAGTTGGGTATACGGGGTGGGTAGGGGTCGCAATGTAGGGATCGGAACACAGTTGCTTCAATATTTTTCCCTTCGTGTGTCCAGGCGTCCAGAGTAGACGGGGGCGAAAGTACTTGACATTCTGATATTGTTGTTGCTGTTGTCGTCAAGCGGGTGAACCCGGAATCCCTCCGTTTATGCCGTTGTTGTTGATGTTGTTGTTGTTGTTGTTGTTGTTGTTGTTGTTGTTGTTGTCGTCGTCGTTGTCGTTGTTGTTGTTGTTGTTGCTGCTGCTGCTGCTGTTGTCAGGCCGTGCTTGCCGTGGCTCGAAATCCCTCTGCTGCTGTTGTTGCTGCTGCTGCTGCTGCTGCTGTCAGGCCGTGCTTCCGGTGAACAAGGAATCCCTTCGCTACGGGTCCGATGACGGAGGCAAGACTGTCCACAACGACGATGAAAGCCTGGCAAAGAAGCTCAAGGCCGCGGCAAAGAAGCTCAACCTGTGCACGCACAGGGTCAATGATAAGGTAAGCGGTGTGGTGTGCGATGACGATGTGTGTGACGATAATGTTGATGATGATGGCGATAATGATGACGGATGTTGATGGTAGATACGATACGACGCTGATGATGATGGTTATGACTGCTGTGGATGTGCAGGATATGTACTCGGCGTGCGACATCGAGGGACACGTCGGTGAAGACGGTAGCCACTACCTGCTCGACTTCGCCCGGACCTTCCCACCAGAGAGCCCGAAAAAGGTGTGTTGTCGATGGGGCTGTTCTCTCCTAAGGTGTTGTTATCATCGTTGGGTAATTGTAGCTGTTTTTTTTTTTCATTGTCGTTTTGCTTCAACGTTGACGTCGTTGTTTTTTTTTTTAAATTCATTGCTATTGTTTCTTAGACTCTTTTCTTGAAGATGGATTCGTTGGATCATACGTATGAAGAACATAACAAGCGCTGTGGCTGTTTTGTTAGGGTTGGTGGTGCTACATATATTGCGGCCGTTTTCGACACAGTCTTGGTTGTTGTTGATGATGATATTGTGACCATCACCGCCGTGGCCACCACAAGAAAAAGTAAGCACGGCATGGAGGGAAGGAGTGGTGGTGAACTTGTTTTAAGAAAGGAGACAAGACTGACGCAGGAAACTACAGGGGGATCACACTGTTGAACACAGTAGGAAAAGTGTTGTGTAAGATGCTGAACGATAGGATAGTGCGAGTGGACATGAAAAGGGCATACGATACCGTATGGAGAAATGGGCTGTGGAAACAACTGTTCAAGTACGGGATCAAGGGGAAAATGTGGAGAGTGCTGAAGAAGATGACAAGAGTGCACGGAAAGCGCGGTGATGCTAGACGGAGAACTGTCTCAATTATTCGACATTGAGCAGGGGGTCCCACAAGGTTGCACGCTGTCCCCAACATTGTTCCAGGTGTTCATCAACGATCTGTTGGAAGTCGTAGAGGCAGTCCGGAAGGGAGTAAAAGTAGGGGACACGGAAACGTCGGTTTCAGGAATGCTGTTTGCGGATGATTTTGTCGGTATGTCGGACACCCCTGAGGGACTGCAACTGCAAATTGACGCGGCGAAGAAGTTTACTGATAAGTGGAGATTGTCTGCCAACGTTCAGCAGATTGCCGTCATGGTATGCATCGAGAACAAGGAGGAACCAGTAGAACATAGATGGAAGTGGGGGATCGAGGAGATTGCAGTAGTGGACCAGTACACATACCTCGGAGTTAGATGGCAAAAAGACTGCTCGTGGAATGCACACCCAATACTCCCAATGCACGCATCAAATTGACGGTTTCGAAGAGGGTAATCGTACCGCCGCTAGAGTACGCCGGAGAAGTATGGGAAGGAAA